CAAAAAAAAAATCTTCTCTCATGTGTAACTCTGATAAAAATGAATGAAATTTAATTGATTCTAAATTATTTTTACTACATATTTAAGATAAAATTTACATTATCATTTAATTTTAAAAAAGAATTTTTTATTATTATTTATATCCATATTATCTTGTGCATAATTATGCTAGTATTATATATATATATATATATGAAAAAAGGAAAATTCTATGGTACACATGACATTTGGCTATGATCTAGTGTTAATTACGGCATTGTTTTAGTTATGATTCAAGAGATTTTTTGGTTATAAATATATATTTTTTTTATATAGTTATGACTTACATAAAATTGAGTTATAACATTTTGGTAACTATATGAGAGGGTTCAAGAATGTTGTCTAAAAATTTGAATTCTTTAGAAATGATGTGAGGATTAGATTCTTTAACGATCACAATTAGAAACACAATAGCAAAGAAATGATGGAGATGAAAGATTAGATGAAGAAGAAGGTAAAGTAGTTGGAGAGAGGATAATGACAAGGCTCTCCAATGGATCTCTCACTTTCACTCTCAAGGCAGATAATGGAGAAGGGAAATTAGTTCTCTTCCAAGAATTGTCCCTCCAAAATCCATCCCTTGTAAAGCTATGAATGGGTGCTATTTATAGGCACCTCATGATGTAGGATGGAGCCCATGTGCAAGGCACATAGGGAATATTTCCTTTAACTACCTTGTTCGAGGAGATAACCTCTCCAAGGATGAGGAAAACCCCGAAGAGGAGATTAACCTCTCGGTGAACCCTTCTTCTTAGCCACACCTAACCAATGATCCTCAATCGTCCCAAAGGGCCGAGGTAGTCCTAGAGGACCCGCTGCCGCTAATATTGCTGAGTCTCATGGACCCTCGGGGTCATGCCATCTCAACCCGGGTACAGGCTAAATCAACCGATGAGTGAATTCATCTTCACCCATCATCCTCAGGATTTGGGCCCTTTGTTCGGGCTCTAACCTTACTCATAATTCTGGTGGGTTGATCTTAGAATGCTCTAAGTCCACAAATGTTCTGGGACTCACCGATGGAACGGCTTCTAAATTGCAATCGAATTCGCTCGAAGCCCGAGTGCCTTGGATCTTTAGGTTTGCTCAATACCCTTTCGAGTCCGAGTCCGAGCCCAAGTAAGTCACTAAGTTTGTGGATCTAAACCCTTTCAAGGGTTAGAGCGATATGGCCCGCTTGATGGCGATAAATTCAGACCCACCAATCTTAGACTTTCTGATTGGGCCTAATTAATTTTAATGGGGCCGTATTGACTCCTCCTACATGAACCAAACTTACAAATATTAAAAGTGAGCATCGTGTCGTGTTTGTGTCATAATTACCTCAATACTAACCCAACCCGTTTTTTTATTTCGTGTTATCATGTTGTGTCATTTTCAGTCTGTGTCTAATTCGTGTCATGTTAGTGTCATGTCATGTCAAAAAATTTCACTATTAACTAAAAATATCAAATGCATCGGAAAAAAATTGAATTTTTTTATTAGTTAAATTTAATGAAACTAATCTCTATTAAATGAAATTATTTATAAAAACATTTGATTTTCTTAATTTGTAAAAATTATATTTTATTATTATAGTTTTTACTAAATTAACTCAAATAATAGACAAAAAAATATATTAAGTTTAATTAAAAGCAAAAACAAAATCTATATTAAACTTAAAATCGTATTTTACATACTTTTTAATAAATTGGATGTAATTATGTAAGAGATTAAAAAATGTCCTAATACTTTTTAGTAGAAATAATATTAAAATATGTAACTAAGTCTTCATTATACGGGTCATCCATGCCAATTTTGTGTTATACAAATTTAGCACTAATCCGATCTGTTTAATATTCGTGTTATAAGGTTGTGTCATGTACGTGTTTGTGTTATAAAATGGTCAATCCTAATCCGCTTTCTTTGTATATGGTTCAAGTTGTGTTATCGTATTATGTTGTAAATTTTCATCCTTAACAAATATCATAACTTGTTGAAGGTGTGTACCATAACATTACCCATAAAAAAATACATGTAAACAATAGGCCTACAAAAACGTGGGATCCCAATTGCCCATGTACAATTAATTTTCTTGCCTCTTTTTCTTTTTCCTTTTTTCTCCTCTTTCTTTTTATTCTTTAAATCCATTTTCAGGTGCGCTTTACGATATCAAAGTGTCAATATAACATACTTTCTCCTCTCAAATTATTGATGCGATACACAAAAGTAAGAATTTGAAAATAAGACTAAAAAAACCCCGTAAGCCTAATCAATTTTGATGAGAATCTTAGTGAAGATTAGTGGTGATTTCCCTATTGCTTAATGTGCTTGCTGAGCTCATGGCTGAGAATATTTTGTTCCACTCTCTCCTATGCCTTATCCCAAACCCCTTTCTCTATCACAGCATCATAATCAAAGATGGATAGATGACATGGTAGAATCAGAATCAAAGAGATATTGATGATATGACATAGAAGTAATTTGAACAGAAAAACGAGAGGAAAAACGAGAGGGAGCGAAATTCTGTACTTTTTGAGTTTTCAGTTTTTGCTTTTTTGTTTTTGGTGAATTTTTTAATTTATTTTTAGGGTGATGCACCAATAAATCCCAAGTCTCTAACTTTGACTTTTATCTTATGAACCAATAAGTCCTATTCTAGTGTTAATGACAAATTGGTCCATTTTTTAGAGCGTGTTGCACCAGCTAATAGGGGTAAATGTGAGTTTTGGTGATGTGTAATTTATGTTTCTGCCCAAAAGCTTACTGTAGAGATTTCTGAGTTTCTAATGTTAGTGGGAGGATGATATGTTGATGCTTGATTCTGTATCTCTGATTTTCTATGTTGTGTAACTTGATTTGTAAACCTAACATGGTATGTTTCTATTTGATTACAATTTCGTAATGTTAGAAATTCTAAGGTAATGTTGTCGAACGTTAATGGTAAGGATGGGTGTTGTGATTTCCGCAAAGGTTATGGTTGTCTAATGCCTATTTCCTTTGTGATTCCTGTTGTTGGCGGGTTGGAATAAATTTGCGGTTTTGGGCCGTATGAAGTTGTTATGGTGTGTTTGGTATAACTGTAATGTTAGGGGTAGTTGTGGTGTTGATTCTGGTATTGTGTCATGGTGGGGTGTCATTTCCCCTGTTTTTTTAGTTGTATATTAGTTGGTGGTGATGTGGATTGTGAATGGGTTATTCGATAGTTGCGCTGTGATGCTAGTAACATACATGTTAATAAGTTCAACTGCCATGGTTATATTTTATGCGTTGGGGTCTGTCGTGTTGTGTTGTAATGTGGTTGGGGCAAATATGTGGTGATGTTGTTGAAGTTGGTGTTCATATGTAGTCATCTTGATGCATGATTTTGTAAGTTTATATGTTAGTGTGTGATTAATTGAACGGCATAAATGCGACATCAACCAAAAGAATTGTACCTGTTGAAACAAATGCCATTTGGAATAAGCCATTTGAAGGAAGCCCTTATCATTGAAATAAGGCTCTGAAGCTTGAAAAAATTGTGATGAGTTTGTTGGCTTGACGTTAGGAAAGTAATTGACATATATATATTTGTATGCGATGTAGGTAATTGGTGAAACACATGCACATTTTCCAAACTGAAGATCTTTATTTCAATGTTAAACAATTGATGCGAATCGCTTATTTCAAAATGGGTACGTTTGAATGAGTTAACAATTTTGTAGTTGATGTTATAGGAATGTTGTCCGATTAATTATATGCTAACAACTAAAATGGAAAAAATCATACTTTGATATGTATATATACTCGTTGTAGATATGCCCTGAAACTCATGTAAAAGTAAGTAATTAACATTGAAACGGGAATTATGAGATGAACAAACGGAAGTCAGATCTAAGTGGTCGAAATACCTGAAGTGCTTATTCTATTGTTTCAAAATAACTTGATGTGGATGTTAGTAGATGCAGTGGTAGTTCCGTTGGGTGTGTTGTTATGTGGCAATGGCAGTCCCTTTGTTACTGGGTGTGGTTATGGTAATGGCGATGTGGAATATCAACAATCAATGTGTTGTGTAATATGTGATATGAATGATATTCATCCTACCGAAATGCAGCAACAGTGTGATATGTTGAATTTAAAGGGTTGTTGTGATCTTAACTAGTTGTGTGATGTTGTTGACGTTCCTTGTGGTTTGTATGTCTCTCAATGATACATTGTGTGGCGGAATGAAAGCTAGTAACTAATTGTTCATCGAGTGTCATAATGTTATGTATAATGTTTCCCCTTATTTTGTTCATGCTTCGTTTGACATGTTTATCGAGTGTCGTATGTCTCTTAACCCATTTAGGGAAAAATAAATAAATAAATACACAAAGGGCATACATGTAAATTCAAATGGAACTAATATCAACTAAGTAAATCTTAGCAAAAAATGAGAACTAATTGGTCCATCCAGGACTAAATGATTTAACTTTCTCCCATATAAGATTTATGGATAAATTTTTCTTATTTTTATTACTTAGTAGATCTACTTAATCTAGATACACCATCATTTAAAAAATAAATAAATAAATATATAAATAAACTTCGAAAAATCACTGAATACAAAAAATACAAAAATTCATTTATATTTTTTTTTTGTATTTATTGAATTATTTTTTGATTTATTAACAAATATTTCAGTTTTCATGTGTATCTAGATTAAGTGATTCTAAAAAAAAAATTAAAAATTGTTTAAAAGTAAACTTAGAACCCAAAAAAAAATACAAATACAAATACAAATACAAATTCAAAATTAAAAAAATTATTTTTTAAAACTCAAAACCAAGTAGAGTGATCACCTCTCCTCCACACATCCAAAATAATATAAAATTCTCATTTTCTGGCACAATATTCCCCATAATCACAAAAACAACATAATGCTTCAGCTTGGATAGCTGAATTTTACAAAAGCATTTGCTTTCTCAAATCCATTTATTTTATAGAAAAAACTCCAAACAAAATTTCACTAACAAAGCCGCATATAGTATAGAATACAAACATATATGTCTAACACAAAATTTAAAATATAAAAAAAAGAAAAAAAAAAGAAAAAGAAAAAATGGTGGTCTTAAATCACTGCATGTTTACAAGAATCATACAGAACACATGTGGGGACTAGTTCAACTACTACAACGACAACCACCTGTTCTGATTTAAACTTTTTTTTTATAATAAACCACAACCAAAAATTTAAATTCTATCAATGACGAGAGCTTTACAGACGCATATTGTAGGGTTCGCAGAATGATATAAGGGATGAGGCAGTGAGCTTCAATCGACATTGGATCAACAGGCACATCCTCCTGACTGTTGTGACTGAGATGCACTTGGGTTGCTAGACTTGAGATTAACATCGACCATGTCTTCTTGCTTCGCTGATGATAGTGTTTCCATTCCTGGCAAGGCTGCAGCAATCTTCCGAAATAGTGGCTGGACAGTATATTCATTGTTAGTGCGCAAAACATGTTGGGTGTGTGTCTTGTATTCTGTGAGACCCATACAGTTATTGATTCTTACATGTAATTATAGGGTTTTATTAATTAATCTCAGGCCCATGGATTTATTAATTGTATGGGGCTCGGATTTCTATAGTTTGCCTACAAATAGAAAGCATCAGGGAATTTTAGAGTTGTGAGATAGTGAGGGTTTGTAGAGATGTAAGGGAGACAGAAAAATACCAGAGGTGTCTAGTGTGAGCGGGAAGCAGGATTTGTGCTTCTGGGCTCAGTTACCCTTGAGCAGAGAAATGGGTATTGTTTCAAGGCTCGTGTATTGGTTTTTAGGCTTCATGGTTATACACACTACAGTTTATAGTCAATTATCTCTCTCACCCGCGACCGTAAGCAGAGGTTCATACCAAACCATGTAAATCTGTATATGCTTCTTTTTGGTTTGGGAGTGGGTGTGTTTCCGTTTGCATTTGAGGATGTGCAATCTCATCAAAACAAGCCTAACAACAAATAGTTCTCTAGTACAGGAACAAACAAGCATAATCAGTCTCATCAGAAGACTCTCAGAAGTAAGAAGAAACCAGTTTTACTCAGAAAAATTATATGCACCAACATTTGATGTCGAATCCACATGGCAGCATAGGCTACAAACTTACGCCAATAAAGTGGGCCTACATTCTATACAAATACATTATTAGTCAGGCTACTAAATTCAGTCTAATAGGTCTGGTTAGCATTGCTCTTGCTGAAGATGGTGGCAACCATTGAATATAAAGTGTTTTTCTGATAAGGCGATAATCTACCCATCTTAAGAGATAAAGGATATGTTTGGTTTGAATTTGTAGAGTGATTTTGAGGAAAAAAAATTAAAAAATTTGTTTGGTTTATAAATTTTCCAAAACAATTTCCAAAATTACTCTCTCTTAACTATCAATCAATCATTTTTTCTCTCTCATCTCTCATTTTCAATCACTTTTTCTCTCACACACATCTACTCAATTATAACAAAATATCAAATCATTCCAAACTCCTAAACTCCAAAACTACTTTCAAAATACACAACCAAACAAACTAAAAAAATTTATAAACTCTCTCCCCAAAACAATTTTTAAAAACTACTCTCCCAAAATCAAACCAAACATACCCTAAAACTCTCCGGACATATTAACAACAAAAGATAAAAATAGGAAATAAGTATGGGGAACTTGGCAGTGTCATGTACATTAGCATTACGTTTATCCAGCTAATCAATTCTAAAAAATGAGAATCTCATAAGAAATCCTAATAGCTTACCTTTATGTTGAAGCCGGCCTTCGCACTGGTTTCAATAAACATGACATTTAGGTCACGAGCTTTGGCTTCTCCCTCCTCTATTGAGACTTGCCTATGGATCAACACCACAAGATGCCAAATGTGTTAGCAAAAATGAAAAGACAACAACGAAAGAAATAAAGGCTCCATGGAGAGGCAATCTGTATATTATAGGTCATAAGTAATTATCGCCAGTTCGCCACTTGCATTTTCCTTGAATAAAACTTTATGCCAATTACATGTTACCATGAATTTCTAGTCCTTTCGATGTACACTGGGGTTGGAATAAGTTCTAAGTCATGCATGTCCACTAGCATATCCTTCTCTATCTATCAGCCTAAAGAGTATTTTTGCAATTTGCAACTTTAGTGAATATAAAAATTTATGGATGAAGGAAAGAGCCCTAACTTTCAATCCTTTCTTTGCTTTTCCATTACTTTCAAACTTGTTCATCAGTGGAGACTCTAATTACAAATTTTTTCGTGAATCTCAAGCTCTTACTAGCAGCATATATAGATTAGACCCCATCTTTCCATTCGAAAGCGATCTCAGGCAAATTGGCCACCAGTTCCAACGCATAACAGCCCCCCTATCCCACAGTTATTTAGTGTTTAATTCATTGTTTCTGCACATAATTAAGTATTATCATGTGCTTGATAAGTTTATTGATGTGACATTTTCCACTGAAGGTGTGGTTAAACCTAAACTTTGTTCCCATTCTAAGCCTGCTTATTAATATATTTATTTATTTTTCAAGTCAAAGAATCAATCGTCAAATAAGAGCTAAAGTTTTGTTGACACAAGATACTTTCAACAAAAGAAAAAATATATGCATTCCTTCCAATGCATTTAGAACTATGTCCATCATGGATATTTTTTCTTTTACTAGATTTTGCCCTCCAGAAATTTAGAGGAATTTAATGGTAGATCTGAGACCTAAACATTTGTTTTTTTGCTTATAATTTTTTTTTTTCCAATTATTATTATTATTTTTTCATTTAGACTTGGAATGAAATTGAAGCTATTCAGGAAAACTCATCATTGGAGATGCTAAATATGTAGAGGCACTAACTGAAGTAACAAAAACACAGAAATGAACTTAACTAATTCCAAAATTTTCCTGCTAAGATAGAAAGAGGCTAATGTAGTAGAAGATCCTACAAATCTACAGAATTACGTGATTAGTACCCTTTCCATTTGCATTTGGTTTGACATCTTTTTACCTACCAGACTTCCAAAACAAAGGTTTTAGCCATGACACTGTATATTCCACTCGTCAGTTTTATCTACACATGCAGCAATATTCAATAGAGTGAGAATGTTAATATTATGAGAACAAAGGCAAAATACTCAAAATGCAGGTGCAAAATTATAATAGTCTTTTGGCATTCCTTAATCTCAGAGATAAAATTGAAGCTATTCAGGAAAACTCATCATTGGAGATGCTAAATATGTAGAGGCACTAACTGAAGTAACAAAAACACAGAAATGAACTTATACTAATTCCAAAATTTTCCTGCTAAGATAGAAAGAAGCTAATGTAGTAGAAGATCCTACAAATCTACAGAATTATGTGATTAGTACCCTTTCCATTTGCATTTGGTTTGACATCTTTTTACCGACCAGACTTCCAAAACAAAGGTTTTAGCCATGACACTGTATACTCCACTCGTCAGTTTTATCTGTCAGTTTTTTCTATCTTTTATCGTACTGCTCTTCTACCACCAAACTAAATTATATCATAAGCATGCTTATCATACATTTTGAAATGACTTCCATCTTTTTCTAAAAGAAAACAAAGAACATTTAGCTTTTATTTACTTATTTATTTTATCAAAAAGGAGGACATTTAGCTCTTCTATGGTTGAATTTTCACAAATCACCATGAACATACCCAAGACTACATTTCGTCCACAAATGACTGAGCTTACATCTTTTCCTTTACACTTTGTTCCATGTGTTATTTTCCTATCTTACAGTTAATATTTAACTAAAAAGATAGTTGTGAATCCAAAGTTGTGAATCCAAAGATCCATGGATGTACAAAATGTTGTGTTTTGAAGACCTAAACCCTCATCGTCAAACATGACAGCTTCCAAAATCAAGATATGACTAAAGTATCCATTGAGCTCAAGGAACAAAATTTCGTTACCTTACCATCAAAATGGTTGAAATATTTCCATTCCCCAGGATGTATAGACCTTAAATATGTTTAATTATTTAATTATTGAGCTCATATGAACATTTATATAGGCTTTAGTTTCTATTTCCAAATAATTCCATATATTCCCTTTTTTATTTTTTCCTTGTGTTTCTAAAACATTTCCAAAACATTTCAGTTTCCAAGCGAACTTAAGCAGCATATCGAAACAAAATTTTGATATAAGAGAATGCATTAGGAAAGGGGATAATCAACTACGTTCAAGATAAACTAAAACAAAGACTCTTAATCATTACCTCTTATCAACAAGGTCAGTTTTGTTCCCAACAACGACAATTATAACGTCACTGCCCCGTTCAGTGCGAACCTCCTCAATCCATTTTGTGGTGTTTAGGAATGATTGCCTGCCTACACCACCCAAAACAAATTATCACAAGTGTATCATAGAAGGCATTAAGTCAGAAGAGCAAGCAAGATGCTTAGACAATAAATTTGAATTTTTATTTTATTAAGCTGCATCTGTTCAGGTGGCTGTAACCTATAACACACCTTTTTTTTTTCTTGAAGTGTAAACAAAAATTTAACAAACTCGAGCAAATGAATATATCAGATTCAAAGATAGGGAGAAATGCATACTTGCAACATCGTACACAATAACTGCAACAGAGGAATCCCTAATATAGCTTGGAATAAGACTCCTAAACCTTTCTTGTCCAGCAGTATCCCTGTAAACAGGCCAACCGACAGATAAAGTTTTCCATACTTGTATTCCGATGCATAATGTTGTGAACAAACACAGGATTGAGCCCAATATAAAGTGAATGATTTCCAGAATGTAAATCATATCAGTGGTAACACAATCATGCTTCTCACTTATCAACATAAAAAAACAAAAAGCTCACATCTGAAGATAATTTATCAATACCTTTTTCCACTCTAGGCCAAAGAAACATTTTATTATTACCAGGTAACACATGTCTGGGAGTTTTGGCTCACTTCTAATTTTAAATAGCCAAACAATTAAAGCAAATGAACAGCGGTATCATATTTTACAACAAACACAATAAAAAACCAGGATACCTAAACATATGGCATCAAGGATATCAGAATGCCATAAGCATCAAGACCATGAAAAATGTAGGCAGAGTGAAAATTGAATAATCATCTCTTCCCTTTTTTTTCCCCCTTTGTTGTCCGTTAAGTAATAAATACTACTAAATTACTAATCACAATCTTCCGTCACTTGAAAGAACACCCCTTACTAAAGCATGCCATTACAACACATTGCTGGCAAAAACCTTCAGATCGTGCCTTGAATTGATGATTAGTATCATTCTTTATGCCTCGTGATTTAATATGTAAAGTTTCTGTCCAGCAAACTTGCACACTTAAAAGAGATGTTCCGAAGAACTGGCAAAACAAAGGGCCCGTTTGGTATCACTTATAAGTTAGTTTTATGGTTATAGCTTTTTAGATGATTAGCTTAAAAGACTTAAAATAAGTTGCAAATATGCTTGGTGTAAAAGTTATAATTAAGATAAAAGAGCTGGAGCTCTTTTGTCCATACATATTTAATGGTTTCAAAGAAGCTGAAAAAAGCTACAAATTATTGCTTATGAAAATTTCACTTCTTTTGGTCAAATATGCTGAAAAGGTCAAATATTATAATTTAAAATTGCAACCAAACACCATCACTCAACTTCGCAGATAAGCTAAATAAGATGACTCATAAGTGCCACCAAACAGAGCCAAAAAATAAGATTCAGATCCTTCTCTTGAAATTAAAAGAAAAAGGATTTATGTATGATCACATAAACTAAGATTCAGTGGTTCACGTGTTGAAAGAGGTTTTGCACTACCAAAAACTAGCTGAATTTTCACTCTCTGGACTTCAACTTTCTGTATAAATACACAAGGCCCTTAACGTGTAAAGATAGGAGAATCTACCACTTGAATAATCCGATAGATAAAAATTAAATCAGAACAACGATTTAATACCCAAAAACAAATCTAATATGATAATAAAGTCAGTTTTTATAGAACACAAGAAACAAAAATGGCTTGGACTCTTGGCCTGTTTTTTATTAAATTCCTTTTGTGCCTTAGGTGGGCCACTGAAGAAGTAGATATATATTATTACCAATAGCATCTTATTGCAATATTGTCTTGATCACAAGTTCAATTGCACTTACACTTGCTGCTCTGTGCATACATGCAAAGAAAATTTTTTCTAAAAGGAACTGCATCATCTTACCAGAGCTGCAACCGAACTGTTCGATCTTCAAGATACATCGTCTTTGACAGAAAATCGATACCAATAGTAGCCTGAATTGCAATTTAAGATGCATAAGTGCATATGAAATTAGATATAAGAAGAAAGAAAAAAGCAGAGCATAAAGAACATGTTCTAGCTCTAGTAACAACTAACAACACATACATAAGAGGACTCGTTATTTTGTTCAAAATAATAAATAATATCCAAAGTCAATTTACTATCCAAAGAAAAAGAACAGTCACAAAATCAAGTTTTGATCATGACAAGGAATCACTCAATTAGGAAAACAGTGAAGTCACACTTCAAAACAAGGAACTTAGAAGTCAATGTCCTTCAGATGGCAAAGTTTGCAAGATGCCCAGAGATATATTTTAAGCATATTGCGAAGAACCATATTAATCTTCTAGGATGACACTCGAATGAAGAAAATGTTCTGCCAGTTTTAGAATTATGAACATTTTTCTTGTATTTTGTTTCATAGCCACAATACATTTTTGGGGGCTCCATTATTTTGATTTATGTAGGTCGTGAATTCCATTAAACATAACATACTTGTCTGTCAGAGATGTTCTTTTGCCAATACTCATTGTATATATACTTTTTGGCTAAAATATTTCAACCTCTTCATTCCCATCTCTCTATCTTGAACATAAATTATGGTTGTTGATATAAATAACAAAGTTACCACTCTCTCTAATACCTTAAGCTTTTAGATGAGTTGGTATTCAACAATTTAACATAGTGTCAAAATAGGCAATAGATTATGTGTTCGAATCTAGCGTTTACTAAATAATTATAACAATTGCACATGTTTAGCCTACATAAGAAAGAGAGTTTGAGCACACAGGAGGCAGCGTTTTAAGAAATATAAATAATAAAGTTACTACTCTCTCCACTAGCTAGAAACACTTCTAAGAAAGTGGCATTTTCATGTCGGATGTCGACACTCATCGAACACTTTCCGGCATATGTCAAACAAAAGTCCAAAGGTGACCTTATTTTTAAATATTTTTTAAGCCCAGACACGCCTTGGACACTGGGGACACATATGTCCATGGTTTAAATACAAACAAAATATATTATAAGTTTGAACAAAATAACTTAAGGATGCAATGATAAAAGAAAAATAATACATATGTAAACCAAACCAAACAAAACCAAATCAAGCCTTAAGTCCCATCAAATGGGGTCGGCTACATGAATCCTTCTTCTCCACGCAGTCCTATCAAAAGCTATTTCATTAGTCAAATTAAATAGATCCATATCTCTATTTACAATGCTAGCCAACGTTAATCTAGGCCTACCCCGTATCCTAACACTCTCATCTGCCGTTATAGTATCGCATCTCTTCACTGTTACCTCTGTTAGTCTCCGTTGAATGTAACCAAACTATCTCAATCGATTCTCTCTCAATTTATCTTCTATCGATGCTGCTCCTACCTATTTTCGAATACACTCATTCTTAATTCTGTCTTGTCTAGTCTTACTACACATCTACCTTAGCATCCTCATCTTAGCCACATTTATCTTATCTACATGTTGTTTCTTGGTTGCTCAACACACTCCGTCTCATACAACATGGTTTAATAGCCGTTCTATGAAATTTACCTTTTAGTCTAGTGGGTATTCGTTTAACACACAATACCCCAAACGCACTTCTCCACTTACACCATCTCGCCTTAATCCTATGGACCACATCCGCATCAATCTCCACCGCTGTTGTGATAATCAACCCTAAATAACGAAAATATTCACTCTTAGGCAATTCTTGGTTCTCAATCTTCACCTCTCTGCTTTCATTATTACTGTTACTAAATTTACACTCCGTATACTTTGTTTTAGTTCTGCCAGGATCTTTTAAATTCAAAAACTTCTCCAAATCTCCAACTTTGTGTTAACTCCTTCTCTAGTCTCATCCATTAGCATAATATCGTATGCAAAAAGCATACACCATGGCACGTCATTCTGAATATTTCTCGCCAACTCATCCACAGCTAAAGCAAAAAGATAAAAACTTAAGGTAGATCCTTGGTGTAACCCTACAGTGATAGCAAATTCATTTGTCACTTCAGTAGGCGATCTAATAGTGGTCACCATCCCTTCATACATGTCCCCAATCACATCAATGTAACCTTTTGCCATCCATTTCTTCTCTAACACCCACCATATTATATATCGGGGCATTCTATCATATGCTTTCTCAAAATCGATAAACACCATATGAATGTCTCTTTTCTTTTCTCTATACTTTTCTATTACTCTCATCAAAAGATAAATCGTTTCCATTGTTGACCTGCCAGACATAAACCCAAATTGATTCTCTGACACCTCTGTTATTGTAGCGATCCCGATTTTGACCCATCTCTTGTCGTGTTCCAAGCTCAGGTTGGTATGGTTTTGAACGGTGTTACATATCTTAGTTTCCTTATATTCCCCTTATTTTTGGTTATCAGGTTATAGTGGTGTGTTTGGAACAGGTAATGTCTCCAAACCTTTAGATACGAATCCAACCCGAATTGTGCCTTGCAAAGTTGTATCGGAAGTTAATTCTTTCATGTTTTGCCACTTCACTGAGTATGTCGAGAGTCGAGTCACCCTATACAGCTTACGGGGGTCGAGCGGAGAATGTTTGGTTCCAGAAGTTTGACCTGTCTGCAAAAGTACTGGGAAATTGTATTCGACACTCGAGCGGACCATGATATATCAATTCGTGAATCTAATATTTCATATCACTTTTGTATATCTCTCTCTCTAAAAACATTTCCTCTCCCTTCTCTCTACATTTCTCTACACAAATTAGATCAAAAACCTTGATTTCTCAAGATCCATTTGAGTTTTGCCATTGCTTCTTCATCAAAATGGGTTATCATCTCGAGAGCTTCGTTGTGTGAGGTGAAGACACCATTGATTTTGAGGGTTTCATCTCATTTCTTCTTCAAAACTGGAGATAGGGATTTTCTTAGAGTTGTATATATATTTTTGCAAGATCTATATGATTTTCGAAATCATCTTTCGATAGCTTTGAAAATTGATTGTTGATTCAAGAAATTGAGCGATTTTGAAAGTGGGTTTGTCTCTTGTTCTTTTAAAATGATCTTATGGATTTTGATCTTCGTTGATTGAAGAAAAGATGATTTTGAAAAGTTTTCTTTCAAAATATTTGAGTTATATAGTTTTGGTGAGAAAATCTAAAATTTTGAAATTTTTTTAAAAGAGACTGAAAATCCATGAATGATATTGTTATATTTATTTTGTGTGTCAAAATAAATGGATGTTTGGAAAATTTCTTATTTATATTTATATAAATGATGAATTTCAGGGAATATGAGAATTGTTGTTCATTTTAAAAATTATTGTTCAAAACGTCAAAATAGTCTTGAAATGACTAATTGTTAAGGATACTAGAAAAGAAGGAATTGTGTTATTCCTTGAATGATGAATTGGAATAAAAATATTTATATTTATCTTTTGTTATTGGCATAACAATTCATTTGATTACATTAAACTTTGAAAGTTGATTTGAAAACTTACATTAAGAAAAGAATGTTGAGAAACAAGTTTTTATGAAATGATTTTGGAGTAAATACGTTGATAAGTCTTGATAGGTGGTGTAGATGATATTGAATAAATTGGCCTGACAGTCCGGGGTGAAAGACCGAAAACCCGCGCAGATAGGTGTCGAGCCTTCCGGTTAATATCGGTAAAAATGACAATTTCGTAGTGTACTTATATAGTCTATTTGCAAACACCGACCTAGCGATTGCCAGAGTCGTATTTACCGCCCTTGAAATAAATTGTTAAGTTTTGAACAATTGAAATTGCATAACATCATTGAGCATGATGGTTTTCAAAAAATGAAAATATGATTTATCTTCAAAAAAGGCATAGCATAGCATGTGCATTTCATCTCTTGAGACTTGTATAAATGTATATACTTTGTTAAGGATTTCCGACTGAGCTTTATGCTCATCCTACGAGATTTTTGTGCAGGAAAAGATGTGGTGATGCTACCTAACTAAAGGTGAGGAAATGTGTGTTGAGAGTACGAGACTCTCATTTTGCTGTAACTCTGTGTGTAAGCCAAGGGTTGTATGTGTGTGGATTTGAATAACCATTTTGTGTAACCAGGCTCAAGCCTTGGAAACTTGTAAACCCTTGGGGGTATTTATTTATTTATTTATTTGTTGTTGGATTAATATATTGTTGCATGAAGAACTATTGCATCATGTAATGTAAGTTTGGAGATTTATATTTGGTTTTCCTTGAAAGAGCCATGATTGTTGTATTATCATTTGGGCTAGAAATTTGGGGCGTTACAACTTGGTATCAAAGCTACCGGATTTGAATACTTGGAGCTCGTGGGAAGTGGTTGTTTAACCACAATGGGTTCATTTAACATGCTTAGAAAATGGTATGCATTTAGTGATTATGTGACAACATGCTTATGTGACTAAATGGGTATGAGATTAGACTTTTGGGATGTTATTTGTGCATGTTAAATTCCTTGAGGTCTTATTAGAAGGATACTTGATCAATATTCATTCTATTAAGAATTCTTGATTTTTCGTGGGACGAATCTCATCATAAGAGTATAATCTGTATGTGTTTACATGACTAAGTGTTTATGTGGAGTGAAATAATTTGTTATATGATAGAGGAATATATAGAATTATTGTGATCAAACGTGTAAGGCAAGTTGCGGGCACGTGTGGGTTAGTGTGCTAAATTAATTCTATTGTCATTTATAGGATGTCAGGAAGAGGTCAAACTCGTGGTGGTAGAGGCGGGAGGCGTGGTAGGGCTCGCCGAGGTGTGCATGAGGTACCGATCCATGAGGCTCGCCGAGTTCGACCAAGCTAATGCGGCCGAACAAGTGGGGCAGGCGAAAATCCCGAGACAAGCGGGTCAAACCGCTATGGGGGCCCTAGCTCGAGAAATGGCAGGGGCTTTAAGAGAGAATAAACTTGTTGAGGGTGGAGAATCAAGCCCGAGAGAACACCGCAAAGTCAAGGGCGAGTTTCCTTACAAGAGAGTTCTTGCGGGCCAAACC